TCATTTTGATTACTTGGAGTGGCACAACTCCAAGTAATTTTGCCAGTTCATCTTTGATCTGATCCAGGGATTCACCACTGGGCAGTCCTTCCATGACAACCTTGAACACACGTTCAGTTTTGGTGTCGTAAGTAAAAAATTTGTGCTTCTTCTCAGTAAGATACTTGAGAAGACATTTAAATCCGTCCAAGGTTTCAGCCAATACACGGCATTCACCCCGACGTCCAATTTGTAGTGAAAACTTAACTTTCACGAAATTCAAAAGTTCCATGCGAAGAGCATGGAAATCGGTAGTGGTTATCACAATAGGGGGAATCTTTTCCTTCTTGGCATTAAGCCGGGAAAGTTTACTAGAATTTTTCTTGGATGATGGATCATTCTCATCATCCGTGAGCAAATCAAATTGATTACTCAAATTAATTTCATCAGAAGGGGGGTCAAGAGTTTGCCCCTTTCTTTTGCGTTTAGGCGCCATGGCGGCAGTAAATTTTTATCCAAATCGACTTCCAAGCAGATTATTATAAGAATCTGAAGGATCGAAGAGGAATTTTCCAAATCGATATCCAAGAAGGATTACCTCGGGTAGGGTCCAAACAAGGATCGAAGAGGAATAAGAGAAGTTGAACAAGGTAGAAAATTTTTTACAGGTTGAGCACTGAAAAGTGCTGTTTAAATTTGTTGTAGCTTTAGGTAGTAGTAACACTTCCTTAAGCAAAAAGCAAATAGATCCGCACGGCAAGGGAGCACGATGCACATTTCCTGATTGATTTATCCATCGCAGGTGCTTGAAATCATCATCCACGTGGAATATTTTGTATTCTGTATCGGGTTTGCAGTGATCCGGCTGGTGCTTCCATATATTTTTGATGAGAAAAATTAAGATTTATTAAATTGTCCCAGCGGTTATGTTCTTCCGGATTTTTAATGTGTGGTTATTTCAGCTGGAAATCAGTTCATATCTGTAGATAATCGAAAAATACGAACACTCCCGATGGAAATTTGCAAGTTGTGCAATAAAATGTACATTATTTTGAGTTTTGAAAATCGTCATTATGATTTAAACAAATGGATTGGATGACATTTGGTTTCAAGTAGACCTTAAGTTTTCTACTAGCGTAGCATTAACCAGATTTAAATAAAATGCTCCATTTGTAAAATAAAAGCATTTTAAGATTGCACTCGTATACCTCACCGTGTGAAATTTTGAAACCATCATCACTCTCATAGTTATTCTATTCTTCACGAGTGCCAACTTTGATTTGCCAATTCCAAGATAATATTCAACGAGCTCCGGCAACCGGTCATCCCCTTCAAGGAAGTGTACTCGAAGTTTAACAACCGACGAACCGACGTGACAGCAGCTCATACAAGCTACTTTCAAATTCGTGCCCAAGACGCCATATTTAAAATACGTTTAACACTACCGACATCTACTCATTCGATCGCGTCATAACATGAGCAAGGATACGAACCCACGTATAATTTATATTGCCTTGCTTTGCGTCTCACCTCATTTGAAAGATCTGATCGCCCTTTTGAAAGTTCGAATCACTCGTTTGACAATTCGAATTGTGGACAAACGAAATGCTTCTGTGGCACGTTGGATCGTCGGTAGTTTAAACCCAGCCGGCGCCGGTGGTGTAGTGGTAAGCGTGACTGCTTTCTCATACCCCAATGGGTCTGGGTTCAATCCCAGCCGAGGTCAGTGGGATTTTTCTGAGGCATAAAAATCTCTGGTCACGTCTTCCTTCGGAAGGGAAGTAAAGCCGTTGGTCCCGGCCCATGTGTGTTGAATGGGTGCGATATCCTACGCAGATGTGGAAGCTGCCTTCCTGCACATTAGATTGCCGTCAATGGATGGCAATCCATGTCCGTCGGTGATTGGCACTTGATGCGGAACAGAGACCGACGTTAAATAAAGGAATTAAGAAGAAGAAGAAGTAGTAGTTTAACCCCTCCACGAGAAGGAGAAGGGTGACTGATGGCAAAAGCTGTCCATCCAAGAGAATACAGTTCTGTATCGTGCGGCATTCTGGCAGACGTTTGCCGAAACCAAGTACCCAACCGATGATGAGAAGATCTAAGAAGGGCAGTTTCCCGTCTTTCTTTTCTTCGTGAGTAAATTTGATGTCCTTGCGAACGTTGCTTATGGCCTCCAAAATTTTTGATAAATCTTCCCTTTTAACAATGCTAAAAATATCATCCACGTATCTATACCAACACTTGAGCAACAAATTCCTATCCTCCAGAATATTTTCTAGGTTAGCCATGAACAGTTCACATAAAAATGAGGAAAGCTACAAACAAACAAGACGAGTAAGCTTGAGGTATGACCGAACTTTGTTTTTCCAAGTAGAATCCTCACGTTGCTTCAGAAGCCAGTCCTCTAAAAGGTAGATGGCTTCCTTTACTAGCACACTTGGAAAAAGTGCGGTGACTTTCAAATGAAATCATGACTTCATCTTCCCGAATCTCTCCTGATGCCTGAAATTGATTAGCGAATTCTTGTGTGCCGTTAACTGAGCGAGTGGCTAAGGGTTTAGGCATATTTTGATATTCCTTTATTAGCCGGCAATCAAATGTGCAGGAAGGCATATCCTACCACACCTGCGTAGGATAACGCACCTATTCAAACACACATGGGCCGGGACCAATGGCTTTACTCCCCCTTCCGAAGGAAGACGTGACCAGAGATTTTTATGCCTCAGAAAAATCCCACCGACCTCGGCTGGGATTGAACCCAGATCCATTGAGGTGAGAAAGCAGTCATGCTTACCACTACACCACCTTGAAGTAAAGCCGTTGGTCCCGGCCCATGTGTGTTGATAAATGGATGCGATATCCTAAGCAGGTGTGGAAGCTGCCTTCCTGCACATTCGATTGCCGTCAATGGATGGCAATCGATGTCCGTCGGTGATTGGCACTAGATTGCGGAACAGAGACCGACGTTAAATAAAGGAATGAAAAAAAAAAAGAAACTTGGTCGCAAAACGCCTACATGTATGTATCTCCTATGTAATCATCGCCAATCATCCAATGATTTTTGTGATTATTGAGAACTTCTAGCGATTCGATCTGCTTAATACTTTCAGAAATGAAGCTTAATGATTATTTGAACTAACTCTTTGATAATTTTGGTGTTACAATATTTGTTGACATACGAAATAATGTTTCGACAGTGATTAATTTCCCATACATTTTTGTATGGCGTCCTTATGTTTATTTCCTAAGGAGAAAATCACAATTGCATTTATTTCTCCTACCTACATGTGTAATTTGTTCTTTCTTAGGCTAATATTGTAGAATCATAATGTGGCTTCCAAACGTACATGATTTAGAATTTCTCTGATTCTTGGGAGGAGCCATGCTTTTTATAGTGTCCTTATATTATGGAGGCGAACGATTTCCTGAATAATACCACCGACCTGGAGCTCTCCCTGTAGCTAGCGTCCCCTAGTATGGAGCAAGAGGTTGAAACTCAGCCGGTGTTTCCATCGATCCGGCGATAAAGAACATTTACCGGGCGGGAACCAACTCACCTGCACTAGTGAGAACAGTTTACGATTTACACCGAACCAAATACAACAATCATCTAGCACGATACATCGATGGATCCCGAAGCGGTGGTAGAGTAGTGCTGTGACGAAGTCGTTATTATCGATAATATCGATATCGGTCATTGAAAATATCGATATCGGATTTTGATTATCGATATCGGGTCCAATAATAATTAAAAAATACACTTTAAAAGTACTCTGTTGCTTTCCGGCGTTTATTTTGCATTTTTAACACCAGAAGCATCAACATTATGGAGAAAAATTATTCGATTAACTCTTTCAGGATCGAGACTGCTTCGAAACTTCCTCAAAATTCGCCCTGTTTTTGAAAACAAACGCTCTGCTGGCACCGAGGTTGCAATCCTTGGCAAAAGCTTCAGTGCCACCTGGTATAAAAATGGAAATCTGCTCTGCTGCTGCTCCCAGTACCGAAAAATGTTACATGTCATTCACTCCTCATATACATGTCAATTTCCTTGCGAATGGAGTCTGGCGTTCGCATTGTTACCCTTCGGTTGTTGTAACGTTGAACCATGCCTTCGTGGTAACTCCATACCCCATTATCGGTAGGGATCTTCCTCGGCGGCTCCTCGCCAACAAAATCTTCTTCATCAGATCCTTCAACTTGAGGTAGGACCATGTGGATGATTATTTCCGTAGCAGCGTTGCGTTCATCAGCACTCTTGAAATGAACATCTTTAAATCGAGGATCCAGAAACATACTTGGTCCATAAAGAGGCGAGGCTCGGTAGCTTTCAAATCGGGATTGGATTTCTCTTAACAAGGATGCTGGGAGGTTTCTTCCAACCGATGATACTGGCTTCATAGCAGTGATGCAATTGTTCAGGCAGTTTATGATAGGTAGCACCCGACTTATTGTCGCATAATCTTGACCGCTCAAATCTTCAGTTACTTCATTAAGTGGCTGTAGTAGCTTGACGACTTCCTCCAGATTTCTTTTCCCCTCCAATTGAACCATTTCTAAGGAGCGATATTGGTCCGACATAATGATCTGTATGAAGTTGTACAGCTCTAGAAACCGTTTAACCATGATAAACTCCGAGTTCCATCTGGTAGGCACAAATGAAGTAATTTTCAGAGGTGTTCTTTTAGCATCATCTTCAATCTGTAGCTTGTGCAGTTTATCTGTTGCGATTGTTGATCTCCGAAAGAAGGCAACAACCTTCTTTACTTTATCTATCAGTTCTGATAGAGCGTTTGTGGCTTCAATGGATTTTTTCGCAACGAGATTGATTGCATGGGCTACACAGCCAATATGTTTATCTTCAGAGAATGTATCCGCAACAGATTTTAACATATTAGACGCATGGTCTGTAACAATCATGCCCACGTGTTCTTTGTGAATTTTCCAATGTTTATGAACTTCCTCAAAGCAAGTTGAAATGTATGCACTATTGTGCCGTTCATTCATGATATAAACGCCTAAGTCAATCGTTTGGAGACTTGTAGAAATTTGAGGGCTCAAAAAGTGACAAGTTACTCCCAAAAAACTCCTAGTAGTATGGCTGTCGGTCCAGATGTCGGCAATAATGGTCAAGTCTTTATCTTGAATTTTTTTTTTGACACACTCGACCACTTTCGAATACTTGTCGTCAACTAGCTTTGTCATGAGCTTTCGGTTGGGAATTTTGTATTTAGGTGCCAGAATTTTCAATAAATTAACAAAGCCCTCGTGCTATAATATATATTACTTGATAACTGGTTCTGCGTCATATATATATAGAGATAGTATACTACCATTTTGAGCTCGAAAAAGCGATCCAAGACTTATTAGACAAGAATATTTGTAAGACGGGCTTCAACGTAGAGTCGTGTTCTTCCTCTGTAGTACCATGAACAAGCAATGCATCCATTTACACGATCACCCCTTTTATCCCCCTGAACAACGGCGTATAATATCTCTTGGAGGCCAGTTTCATCCCAATTATCTTATATTACCATGCATACCGAAAAACCTGGCATAGTGGGAAAAATGGTTGGTATCAGAAAATAATCTGTCAAACTACTACAACAAACCATACAATACACAACACGACTTCTCGGATATTCTACGGAGTTCTTGGAAGATCTATGGCCTTTCAGATATTTTACTGATTTTTTGAGTTCTACTTCTCAAAAGTTCTACAGACTTCTAGGAAGTTCTACGGTTTATTCGGAAGCTCTACAAACTTCTTGGAACTTCTATGGACTTCTATATATATGACTCAGAACCAGTTATCTAGTTTTTGCGGAAGCTTTTGAACGGAGTTTGACTGAAAACCTCCATAGTATAATTCCATATTCACTTTACCCATAGTCAATATTTAAAAACGAGTGAATTTTTAACCTCAAACTGATTTTAAAACAAAAAAAAAATAACATAAACATGTCCAAAGTTGCGTTTCTTTAAACATTCGATCTATTGTGGATGGTTCTGCAGATGCGAAGCTTGTACTGGGAGTAGGAGGTTGAGCTAAATCTTGTTCCTGATCCTGACACTTGGATGCATTTTGCGGCCGTAGCGTTTTGTCCTTCTGCGGATGCTTCTGGAGATGAAGTTTCAAATTGGTGGTATTACCGCAACGTTGAACTTCTGAACCGCATATTTTACACTTAGCGGATACTGTGGACGTTTTCACAAAATAATTCCAAACTTCGGACATTTTCAACGATAATTACATAAATATGTAAATGACTTCCTATGACTATCTATGCATATTCATTTATGTATTTATCCGATTTAAATGGTAGAGTAGTGTGTCAAAAACTCAATAGGCGTAATTGGCGTTGACGTTGACGGCATTAGCTCAGCCGGGAAACTCTTTTTGCACCAACTGTTTCTTATTGACGTGTGAATGAAAAAAGCATAAATCTTCCCTCCTTCACTTTCTGACATAAAATCGCCAGCAAAAAGAGTAATGTCATCATCGCCAATATTTATAAACAGTGCTACCAGCAAACCGATATTAAATTCAGATTATCGTCGATATCGGATTTTGAAATATCGGTTATCGTATCGATAATTTGGACCCAATATTTATCGATAATATCGGATTTATCGATATCGTCACAGCACTATGGTAGAGCCGGTACTGGAATTTCCGAATCGGAGCTGTGCACCTTTTACCGACTACCAGACCCCTGCAGCGTTTTTACTGCTCAAGCAGCCACCATTCTCGTAGCTGCCACCCTGCCCTCCAACAAATCCAGCGTCATATTATCCGATTCTGCCAGTGTTTTAGCAGCTCTTTAGTCTGAAACGGCTAAAAATCCCTGGATCCAGGGCATCCAGCAGTTTGATCCTAAGGAAACAACCTTTGTCTGAGTCCCCGAACGCTGTGGGATCAGCGGTACAACTTATACACCCGAAAGGTCCCGGCCCAATCACAATCACGATATGGAACTGTTGGACTAGCGAATGGATACGATCTCGAGACTTATTTATCCGGAAGGTAAAAGGGGATACAAGGAAATGGAAAGATGCACCTGAATACCGATTCCAAGTCATCCCGGTTAGAAGGCAGTGCGATACATGCAATGTTGCACTAACAGTGGAGCATTTCTTATGCGAATGCCCCCAGTATTACGGGCCCCGTTCCCTATACGGGATCTTAGGTAGCGGATGGGATACCCTGAGGTATGACCCATTCCGCATCGCTACGCTTTTCTGCTTCCTTCAGGTCCTGTAGGTCTGATTAACAAAATGTGGTATATGAACACCCAAGCAACGACAACGGACAATGATTCGGACCAATGCCAGGACTCAAAACTGCACCTCGGCAACGACTACTATTAGTAGTTAAACTCGAAACGAATGAACGAAGATATTGAACCAAGCAAAGCACGTACAAGGACACGGAAATGGACGAATGACGATACTAAAATTAAACACAGCGACTACAAAGGAACAGGCCACGGAACTTAACCACATGACCACAATTCAGTGCCAACATTTCAAAGGGGCGTAATTGCATTTGTAAACAATAACTGTAGCCGTCGATTTCTCGCGAATAAAAGCTCACTCATGAAAAATAATGACACCAATAGGTAGAAGAATGAGAGCATTGTTATTTTGAAGGAGTGAGCTTTAATTTGCGAGAAATCGACAGCTAAAGCAATTACGCCACTCTGAAATATAAAAAAAAAAAATGTTATTAGGGGGACTCCCTTTTGGAGCTTCCGCCCATTCTATCCCTTACTTCGTATCCTCGGTGTTGTCTTCTGGAACTTCACCTCCTCCTCCTCATATTAGCTCTGTAATCAGGGGGACTCCCGTCCGAAGTCCCCACCCCTCGTTTTTAAGATACGAACCAGCCCAAGGCTGTAAATCTCTCTAATAAAGCAAAAACTAAATAAAAACAACTGAGTAACTATTCAGGAGTATTCCCAGGAAATGCTGTGTACAGTGAAAGAACAAAAGGAATCATCGTAAAATATTGTGTATATTAAAGTTTAACTGCAGAAAAAACACTGATAATACAACCACTGGGAGAGCACGCTACATTGATTTTACTTCGTCAATAGGAAAATCAAAATCGCTATTATCAGCACCACGATGGCTGCCAATCCTCCCACCAGTGTCATGTTCAGCTTTCCATCGCCCTTGTCGTCCGTACCCGTTTCACATTCCCTGGCATCGTGCTGCTCCTCTTCCTTCACCTCGGCCATCACCTCGATCGTCGCGCTCAGATCCTTGGGCATTACGATCAGATCGAGTGTATCGCGAATCTGCGGAATGGCCGTCTCCTTTGCCTCGTCCAGGAAGAGATACTCGCTGAACAGGATTGGGGTGGACTTCGCCCGGATGGGGAAGTAGATTCGGCGGGGTAGTTCATTCAGCATGACCGTATCCTGGACGCTGTCGTCTGCGTGTTGTACCAGAGAATCGCAATGGATCTGAACTCGAGACATCAGAGAACGAATGATGTCCGTTTTTACGAAGGACTCAACCTCGGCGAAGGTATTTTTGGGATGGGCAAACACTGTGGAGCTAATGATACCGTCGAGTTTCAGTGTTCCGCCGAAGGTTTCGATCTTGCTAGTGGAAATGTCACTGTTTGATGGCTGAAAAGATAGAAAATCGCTTATAAGGTTGTATGAAAATCTTTAAGGTAGAAAATAATACCAATGGCATGTAAACGTGCACTAGGAATGGATCTTCCTTTTTGTCCTGAAGCATGGCATCCACCAGCTGATTGCCGTCTTTTGGACCACCGTCAAAGAAAATAACACTTCTATCCAGTTGCTGCTTCAGTACTTGAACGCAGTCGGTCAAGTTCCCTTCGGTATCGTACTGGTCGTCTGATTTCTTGTTCAACGCAAACGTATCGTCAGTCTCAAAAAATGTATTCATCACCTGCCAAGTGGTGGCTCGATCCTGGAACTTCCAGTCGCATGGATTAACCGATAGGTTGTTCGACTTGAGGGCCACACTCTTACATCCAAAGACGTTACTACTCGACGAGTAGAAAAAGACTAGCTTCTCGCCAGCGTCCAGCTCGTCACAGTTTCCCTGTAGCAGTGCATTGGAATTGAACGTATGCCGCATGTCGACCAGCATGGTTTTGACTTTTCTCAGCAGGTTCTGGTCCTCGAATACATTTTTAGGATTGATAACGAAGATTCCCATCACGTAGAATCCACCCGGTAGGAGCCGGGTTTCTATAAGTGCATGTTGCGAAACCTGCTGGTTGTCGACATCCAGAATGTTTTGAACTTCTGGTTCCGAGCCGGATTCATCCTTGATTTTGTTCAAATGTACGATGTAGTCTTTGCCATGAATCGATGGCTGCGAAGGAGCAAAATCAAGAATTTTAGAAAGTAACTTTGCAATGTGATTATCGATAGCCTTACCTGCCCAATCAGCAAACCAACGCAGGAACCTTGCTTCTTGGAAAGACTCTTGAGGTACTCCTCAAGGTAAGCTTCGCAGTTCACCGATCGTCCCATTGTGAATGTAATTCTGATATAGCTACTTACGCGGAAAAAACACTAACCAATATCAATCTATAGATCAGGAAAAAGATAACACCGTCTAATGGAGATGAATAAAGGAATATCGCATATCGTTGACGCCTGAGCTACCCGTACATTTCACTTTTTGCACCAGCAAAGCAAATCAACCAACGAATGTAAATGCGATTTTTATTTACGATTTACGTGTCACTATTTCTGCGTCTCACTGACAGCTGCATAGGCTGCAACAACTTTTATTTTTGTTTGTACTGTACTGTTGCAATCGAACAGCGCCACGCTGTGGTGGGTTGAGCCAACTATGTCGCGAGCTTTACAGGCGATGAGATCAACTCAAAATTGAGAGGAATTTACTCAATTTTTTTCAAAATGACGGATCGATTTAAAATTGAGTCGTGTCGACTCAATGTCGTCGAAAGTGGATTTACTTGAAAGTGGATTGCATTTTTCCAGGAAAAACTTCTCGAATATGAGGAAAATCGATAGAGGTTTCATTCCGTATATTTGTATACTACAAGAATGAATGGTTTTCTCATATTCTTGTTTCCTGGTTTTTCACGGCTTTTGGCGGGAAAATTGAATTCTCTTTTTATTTAATGCACTTTTGACGAAATTGAGTCAGCTGTACTCAATTTTGAGTTAGTCTGGACGACCGTGTTCCACTGTCTGTTAGTGCTTACTCCTGCCACCAGGCGTGCATGAGTTTTAGGTGCACGGTCGTTCATATCAACTCAAATTTTAGTCAAGTAAAATTAACCACTTTGTCAAGCAGTTTTGGCGTGACTTTCTACCAGCGATTCCACAAAACTAGACCAGCTAATTTCTATTTTATATAAACGCACAAATGATGGCTACTTTTCTCGTGGTTCTAGAAGAAAAAATCTCAAAATAATGTGTTAGTTCGAAGTTCGAGTGGTGGTAAACGTCATTTCAACTGCTCGAATAAAGTGGTTAATTGGGTTGTTTAAATTTGAAAAATATACGGATTCTTATACATTATCTGATAGAGCTTCGTTTTCTGAGCACAACGATTTTTTATTGATCCCGTAGACATTCATCTCGATTTTTAAATCAAGATTTAAATTTTTAACCGTTGACACTAAATCTATTCGTTGACAGCTCGCTCCCAGGCAAAGTCCTACCTAGGGGCGCTAAGATGGTGATTTTTGCTTATGTAATTGTACTTATTTAAAATAGTTCCTATGTACCAAAATTGATGAAATTTTGGATTTCGGTTCCATTTTAAATGCAGATATCGTATATGTATTTACCTCAATACCCCTTGAGCCAATTGGGATCTTTAATTTTGAAAATTATATCGGTTACCACCCTCATAAAAAATAACCATAAGAAGCACCTAACCACCAATTCAGGATATCATCCAATCTTGTGTATGGTATCCGTTTATGAGGGCATACATCATATGAAAGAGCTTCGTTTTATTGAATACAACGATATTTTTTTTCGATCCCATTTAGGTTAGAGAACTACTTCGGCCTAATCTCCCATTTTGGTCATATCGAGCAGAAAACTTCAAATAAATCCATGATTTCAGAGTTAACAAGTCAATTATGCGTTTGGTACGATACTTTAGTTAATAAGCTACGGAACGAAGTCAATGAGAACGCGTGATATGAAGGTTTGCACCCATTATTCCCAAAAACAAAAGAAGCGCTCCGACCGAATTAACCACTTCATTCGAGCAGATAAAATGACGTTTACTACCACTCGAACTTTGAAATGAAACATTATTTTGAGATTTTTTCTTCTAGAACCTCGAGAAAAGTAGCCAACATTTGTGCGTTTCATAAAAAAATAGAAATTAGTTGGTCCAGTTTTGTGAAATCACTGGTAGAAAGTCACGCCAAAACTGCTTGACAAAGTGGTCAATTAGTTTTTATCTTCATCCGATAAGCCGAAGTGAATTCATTGGCGTTTCAATGCGTTAGGCCGAGTTTAGAATCCATAGGCCGAGTGTAGAATCCATAGGCCGAGTTTGGCGTCAAAAAGCAGCGTTAGTTAGACTTTTGAAAATATCTCAACGATTGGTATCTCATTATCAAATCTTACGGTACATACGGAAAGGTAAATAAATTTGGAAGCCATCAGTAATAATAACATTCCGTTTGGTGCTAAACTACGCTAGATTAAGAAAGACTAAGTGCGGGTTGTGCTTAATAGGCCAGAAATGAGGTAGTTAACCCTACTTCCATCTCGCTTTTTAAATCAAGACTAACAAATTGACCACTTTGTCAAGCAGTTTTGGCGTGACTTTCTACCAGCGATTTCACAAAACTGGACCAACTAATTTCTATTTTTTTGTGAACCGCACAAATGTTAGCTACTTTTCTCGAGGTTCTAGAAGATTTTTTTTTAAAATAATGTTTCATTTCAAAGTTCGAGTGGTAGTAAACGTCATTTCATCTGCTCGAATGAAGTGGTTAATTGACGGCTCGCTCCCATACAAAGTTCCACCGAGGGGTGCTAGTACACTGAACCAAAACATTCGCAATACTTCGAATGATTATTGCATTGCTCGAGCCCTTTAACAATATGCATTCGAATTTCGGATGATTTTCGTGGTGGAGAAAACCTCCTTCACCACGAATTAGCCAAACATTGGTTTTCATCCTTTACCTATGTTCGTAACAGCTCTGATAGCGATGCATATGCTTCCACCTCGCTTGTCAGCTCAGATCAGTGAATGACGTTCGATAGAATTATTTACATAATCGTTTTGAATGATTTGCGTTATGGGGCTGAACCAATACCATATGCATTTCCATTTAGTATGACAGTTATTCTGCAGAGAGCATTACGCATTTCAACTCAAGGCCCTATCTTTTCTCATAACAAGTTTCATCCTGTATTCTAGAGGAAAATCATCTGATTTCAAAACAACCGTCATCCGGTTGCAGCTATCATTCGAAAAAGCGATTTCGGTGTTTTGTTTTGAATGGTCTGAGGTTTCATTCGATCAGAGGATGTTGTTTGTGTACAGTGTAGCCGCGGTCGGTGGGATTTTTCTGAGGCATAAACATCTCTGGTCTCATTAAACTGGTGTAATCCAGGCACACAATATGCTAGGTCTCTAAAACCGCTACTTAGTCCTTCCCGTATAGGTTGCGCGTAGTCCCAACATAATCCAGTATATACAGCAAACGTGGACATCAATTTCGGGATGGGAATCTGCAGTCATACAAAACATAACCTAAATAATATCGGTGCATCAAAAAACGCATTTTCATTAACTTTCAATCACAGTGCAATGACAATTCACATAACATTGCATCATTCGACAAATTTCCTACATGTATCTTTCATAATAATGATCGTATCGCACTATTTTGAACTTTTTTTTTTCAATAATTTATCATTCAAACACTGAAATTTGAACCAGCTGTCATACATTTATCACCAACGACTAGTACTATTTTCCTCCACTAGTGACGCATCAATTTAACTTGGATTCTACTATTGCAGAACAGAGACCAGCGTTAAATAAAGGAAAAAAGAAGAAGAAGAAGAAGAAGACGTTGGTATTTTGTTCTAATGTAATCACACTTATTTAAAATAGTTCCAGTGCTCCAAAATTGATGAAATTTTAGAATTTGATCACCGACGAACCGACATGCCACTGGACCATTTCGTTTGTCCGCAATACGATTTGTCAAATGAGCGATTCGATCTGGCAAACGGGTGATCAAATCTGTCAAACGAGGTGAGACGCAAACGAAGTCAATATAAATTTTACGTGTGTTCGTATCCTTGCTCACGATATGACGCGATCGGATGAGTAAATGGCAGTAGTGTTTAATGTATTTTAAATATGGCGTCTAAGAATTTAAATGTAGCTTCTATGAGCTGGCACGTCGGTTTGTCGGTGATTTGATCCCATTTGAAATGCAGATTAGTAATTACCTCAATACCCCTTAAGAACCCAATATGACAATGTTTAATGAGAGGCTCATGTATTTCGGGACCCCATGGTATCAGTGCAGAGCCGTCAACCGTTGTCTGCAGTATAAAAGTCGTCTCTGGTGGGCTCACAAGTGGATCTCGAATGCCTAGCTCCATCATCGATGTCATCGGAAACCGATATAGACTGAAATTCAAGAACGAAAGTGGAGGTTAGCCAGCCACACATTACGAAGGGGGGTATTTGATAGTGTTTCCCTGTTTTTTTTTCCTGCGGGGTATTTTTCAAATTTCTGTAACCGGAAGCCGTCATAATGGATTTCAAAATGGCGTCAGAAATCGACCTTAATCTGCTAGAAAATACTTGGATGGATCGCAGAAGGAAATTGCAGGCAGAGGGGCCCATGGCTACGAAGCCTCCACGAGGAAATCAAGTACGCCGAAGCAAGCGAGTCTTTCATACTGGCCATTTTCACCACTGGAAGTGCTCAGGATACATGAGTGTGGAGTAAAATTGATCATTTTAACCACCCTAAGGATTACGCATCTAAAAAAAACCTCGCGGTACATCAATTTACTCAATTATCACCTTTATTGCTCGTAAAAAGTACTATACACAGTAATCGTAATAAATAACTATCGTTTAGATCATCGATACGGTTTCTCCTACTCATCAGCTCATTTTCGTAGCGCTCGTCAATAAATATAACATTGGAAGAAGATTCACATCTCTACACAGAAGCAACTTATTTATACATAAAAAAAAAATCCAACCGAAATCTGTCTCCGTCCGTAGCACTCCTCTCACTCTCACCCCGCGTTTCGCATTCATTTGCACTCGATTCATTTTGATTAAAAAAAAATACATTGTTACAATTCGTTCGAGCATGGCCCCAAGAACCACATCACGTCCGGCAGTTTCCGTTGCAGTTTATCACCGACCAAATCCAATCCACGTAGTTCGGCAGCTTGGTGTAGATGCCGAACTTGTTCTTCTTCCCGCAGCCATCGCCGAAGCTGGTGATGCCGAATATCGTCCATGGACTGTTCTCCTTGGTCGTGTCTTTGCACAGCAGTGGACCTCCGGAATCGCCGGCGCATGTGTCTACTCGGCCTCGCTTGTGACCCGCACAGAACATGTTCTTCGTGATGGTGTAATCGTGATACACCGCTCGGCATCGATCGTTGGTGATGATTGGGACTTCCGCCTCGTGCAGGATGTCCGTCCCGGAATCGTCACTGTGCCGTTTCTTGCCCCAACCGATAATCGTGCAGGTGTGTCCGGTTGGCAGCGTTTGGAATCTTTCTGGAAGACAAGCGTACCCAACGTAGGTGGATCGTTCTACGTCGCGGGGTAATCTGAGTAGAGCAACGTCGTTGTCAACCGTTTTCTTGTCGTACCGTGGATGCTTAATACTGAATTCTATACGAAATTCGATCTCCGTACCGTCCGACTGCTGAAGGTTGTGTTCGCCAAGACGGACGAACAGCCGCTTTCGGACGCAGTGTGCCGCTGTTAGAATCCAACGGGGTGCGACCAAGGTTCCTCCGCAGAAGGCTTCCTAAAAAAAGATCATAATTTAGAAATAAAAATCCTTAGAGAACGATCATGATTGAGACATTACCTTGAACCGATTGAGAATGGCAACCTGCCAAGGCCACTGACCTCGCCGGGAGGATTTGCCACCGATGATTCGAAGCATGTTGTACATATACTTTTTCGGTTTGCCGCGTACCGAGGGGATACCACAGGTCAACTCCTGTGGCATATATTCCGGTTGGAGGAAGCCTCTACGGCTCGCAAACGACTGCTGTGCTATCGAATTGTCCTGGAAGTCATTACGTACTCTACCCATTGGTTGATATGGAGCGAGGGCTTGAACCCGTGGAGGTTTCGTAGGCTTTGGGGTCGTTGCAATGGTAGTCATCGGCACTTGTGGTGGCTTGTTGTTCTGGTACAGTTGATTACCGATCCATTCTTCGCAGAAGCTACCCTCCGTATAGCAGTAGGCAACCTCGCGAATTATGTCGTTACCGCAGATGGATGGGATCTTGCAGCGTCTGTGGGGAAGTATAACTTTTAATAGCTTCAGTTACTGATCGAAGCTGGTCATAGCACTTACTTGAATCTCCTGGTGGTACACTTTGCCGTACACTTGGACCATCGACTCCATTTGGAGTACGGGTTGTCCACCTTCCTTGGCATCTCAAAAACTGCCTTCTCCCTGGCCTTCTTCTGAGTGACTGCGGTCCCCAGCTTCAGCATGCTCTTGTTCGGATACTTCTTACCGTCATGTGATCCTTCCTCTGCACCATCGTTGGTGTCTTCTTCTGAACCGTCCAGCTCTTCACCGGAATCGTCCAAAAAGTTGCTAATCTCCCGTTTAGTGTGATGCGACTGCCCGGACGATGCTTCCGTAGTCGGGAACGATTCCATCAGCTTGTGGAACTCCGTCGATGACGAACTAGAGTTAGCATCGTCTAGGTAATCGTCGGTTGTACCGGTCAGAGCTTCACTTACCGCTGGAAGCCCATCGATATCTACCAGGTCATCTTTCCGGTTCGTAAATCCCGTTCCGTCCCGGAACAAATGATCGTAATAGTCTTCGAAGTAATCAGTTAAACGTTGTGGTTTTCGCTTGATCACAGCCGTGTGGGGTCTCCGTTGGAACGTCTGCGCCGTACTAAATCGCTGCTGGTAGTGTGGACTGGGACTGAAGATTTTCCGATCGTCAAAGTCGTCTACGATGATTTTGAGGGGTTTCCGCTGGTTTTGGATACGTTGCTCCGAAACGTATTCCTCATCTTCGTAGTCCACGGGTGCCGGACGATGGTTGTGATGTCCATGCTTCCGTTGGCGGTACACAATATGAGGTTGTTTCCATTTACCGTGTTTCGGTTTCGGTCTCTTCTTGACGATCACGTACTCGGTGTCATCTTCCTCGTCGTAGTAATCGTCGTCCTCTTCTTCCACAATTATTCGTTTCTTCTTCTTCTTGGGTCTCCACGGGTCCACACCAACGGCGGTGGAGTACTTGTGGCGTGGAATGCTATCGTAGCTGTCGTAGTCCGATGGGATCGTCAGCGGTGAGCATCTGGAAGGTTTAGGTGTAGTTTAGTCTTGGTTATTTTTTGTGAGTGTGTGTGTGTGTGTTCTTTAGAATAATGACAATAAGTGTAATAGACATTTTAGAAAGGTTTTACAGATTTCGAGATATGTGCAAAGAGGCTACACTTTGTTCGGTGAACTTCTAGGACGAATTCAGTGAACTTTGGAAACGAATCTGTTAGACTGTTGCTTTTGATAAGTCGGTCGTAGGTTGTGGTAATGTAAGGGGCACGGTGGCTATAGAGCAACCGTTTTTGCTTATTGAGTTAAAGATCATGGGTAAAACCCAAGCCTCGTTACATTACTGAGTTGATCTATCGAGGTCTCTATTTTAGAACATCGTTCCTGATCCGGTTCGGAAAACATTGTTAACTTCTTTCGGGGATTACATTTCATTGTAATAGCTTCTTGTAACCGATGATGAACTATGTACGGGGCACGGTGGAGCAACCGATTTTGCGTAGGTTAGAACCCAAGCACCTTACACTATTGAGCGTAATGAATTTCGGTTAAAAGGACGGGGGCGTACAAAAAGTAATATTTGAGTTTTAGGAAAGACGTGTTGATTGGAAATCCATATCAAATTCTTCTCAAGAACAATTGTTTCCAAGTAACCACTTAGTCCGCTAATTACCCGATAATCGCCCTTTTTACGATATAAGGTAAATATAGGATGTCCAAACATTATATCAATCGTACATCAGCCTTAGCAAAAAGGGCGATTAGCGGTTACTTGGGTTGCCTTCGTCGATGTTTTGTGATATAAGGAGCTCGGTGGCCTAGTGGTGACCGATGTTGCTTACTGAGCAGAAGGCCGTGGTTTTAAACCCTAGCTCTTTCGCGCTATTGAATCGTTAGGACATCAATTCAGCATACCAAAACGAATCCTTCTACAATCCGAACCCTTTTATCCAACATCCCAGTGATTTCTCGTGGAAGTGCAGAGGATTCCTAAGGTTGCAACATAGCAAGTATCATGTCAACGCATTCCTACCCATTTCTTTCTTGAGCTGCGTTCTGGCGTGGTAAGCGCTCCTATTGCCTATTTTGAGATCACCAGTTGTTACACATTGAGGATGAATACTAGTCCCAAGCATCATCTATTGGTTCTCTGTAATTGCAGCTGATCTGGCAATAGCAGAGTGGCATCTGTGGGCGGTAAATCATGCTCATGCTCTGATTGTCCTCAACATGTCACTGTATGAAGTGCTAAAAACGGGTTGGGTGGATCGGTATACAAATCCTATACGAGGCGTAAAGCCGGGACAAAAGAGAATCTCCTTCTAGCTACATGATCATACATTTGGTCAACAAGGAGGATGCCCAAATGAATGTAGAGAAGAACCAGCCCTTTGTCCTCGAGATGTTAACAACAGGGAGTTTAAAATTTCACTATACCCATCCAAATCGCTTCAGTTGGGTGACGTGATCACAAATTAACTTTCAATCGAAAATCTTCAAGTGACGAAGAAGCTCTCAACCATCACTTTCAATTGAAAGTCATTTTGTCTTCTCTTCGAGCAGATCCCCGTCAACATCAACAGAACCACTTTCGATCGGTTTTCATGCTGTTTGTTTTTGGCTTGACTCGTGTTCATTTCTTCTTTCATTGTCAAATGAACTTACTTTTGCATTGAAGTGAAGCTGTTTGATCCAAATTCGCGCAGTTTTTATGACTTTTGTTGATTGTTCACTCGGTTCATTTAAGCGTGTGCGCATAGATCTGTGCACGTGGTTGTAAAATTTATCATTGTTGGGTGGTTTGTTTACGCATCAATATGGGTACTTTTTGAATCTGGGTGACATCCAGAGATCGAAAATTGATATGCGACCCTATTTTTAAATCCAAGATGGCGGCTTCCAGTTTAAGAAAAAATGGGAAATGCTGTCAAATACTTATCAATAAAGGTATTTTTGGAATCGGGATAATGTTTAGAGAATGAAAATCGATATCCGACGCCATTTTGAAATCGAAGATGGCGGCTTCCGATTTACGAAAAAGTGGAAATACAGTCAAATACTTATCAATATTGGTATTTTTGCAATCGGTATGAAGTCTACAGATCGAAAATCGATATGTGACGCCAATTCGAAATCCAAGATGGCGGCTTCCAATTCCAGAACAAGTAGGAAATATTGTCAAATTCCCGTCAATATAGGTATATTTTGGAATCGCGATGACGTCTAGAGACAGGAAATCGATATCCGATGCCAGTTTGAAATCCAGGAAGCCGTCATTTCCTATTTCAGAAAAAAATGGGAAATGCTGATAGCTTCCCATCAATATGGGTATTTTGGAAATCGGGGTGACGTCTGGAGATTGGAAATCAATATCCGACGCCATTTTGTAATCCATCAATTCCGAAGTGATTTGAGATTTGGGCGTAATTGCTTTTGTAAACAAAGACGTCAATTGCCGATTTCTCTTGAAATAAAGCTCAATTTAATAAACAAACTATACCAAATGATAGAGGAATCATTCTTGTACCTCATAGCATTAGTAGTTTTCAAGATTGAGCTTTTATTCGCGAGAAATCGGTGATTGTCATGTTTGTTTACAAATGCAATTACGCCAAAATCTCAAATCACTCCGTAAATACCCATGCAAACGTTTTTATTTTAAGAATCCGGGTAACGTTCATATCGTTGCATATCGCATATTAGCTTATTGCGTGCTCTCAACTTAGTGTTCTAGATGCACTTTCACCACAGACAAACAGACGTAACACTTCATTGTGTATCTTCGTTCACGCATTTAACGGTCGATTTGCATATTATCAGTTCCGCGAACTACTCGCCGCAGCGCTGGCATCGGATTACTTTGACGTTTCTATACATTCTATAGAACTTTTATGCAATATTGTTTGCGAGTTAGCGAGCAAGCTTGTTTTCCGCGAGAAGCCCGAGAGATGTCGTTACTGAGGTCCTATGTTTTGAGATACTATGTTTTCAAGAAAATAAATTTCAAAGAGTTACGTTTGTTTGTCTGTGCTTCCACAGTTATTAATTGAGAGCTTTCGATGCCTGTACCATTTTTGCATTGGTATGAATGTGTGGCAAGTCCAATCATACTTATATGCCCAGGGAAGTCGAGAAATTTTTCAACCCGAAAAATTCCTAGACCGGACCGGGAATTGAACTCAGCCACCTCCAGCATGGTCTTGCTTTGTAGCTGCGCCTTTACCGACTGAGCTAAGGGAGGCCCGGGTAACGTCTAGAAGCCGGGAATCGATATCCGACGCCATTTTGTAATCCAAACGGCGACTTCCGATTTGCGGAAAAGTGTTAAATAACCTAAAATATGGGTATTTTCAGGATGGGGATGAGACATAGATGCCGAAAATTGATGTGACGCCGTCTTTTTTGGAATCGGGCTGACATCTAGAAGCCAGAAATCACGCCATCTTGAAATTCAATTTAAGAAGAAGTGTCAAATAGCCTACAAATGGCATCGAATATCGATTTTCAGCATAAACGCGTGCTTCCCGTTCCGAAAATACCCAGATCTTAGGGTATTTGACACATTTGTGAAACCCGATGGCCGCCATATTGGATTCCAAAATGGCATCGAATATCGATTTTTAGCATGTACACGTTGTCCTCATTCCGAAAATACCCATATTGTAGGGTATTTGACACTTTCTGAACCCTGATGGCCGCCATATTGGATTCCAAAGTGGTATTTGATATAGATTTTCAGCATCTACGCGTTGTCGCTGTTCTGAAACTAACCATATTGTAGGGTATTTGACACCTTTTCTGAAACCCTATGGACGCCATATTGTAGTCCAACATAGCATCAGATATCGATTTTCGGCACCCACGCGTTGTCTCCGTTCCGAAAATACCCATATCTTAGGGTATTTGACACGTTTTAGGAAACTTGATGGCCGCCATTTTGGATTCCAAAATAACGTCGAATATCGATTCTCTGCACCTTCATGTCGTCCTCTTTCCGAAAATACCTATATTGTGGGGTATTTGAGACTTTCCCTGACCCCGATGGCCGCCATCTTGGAGTCCAGAATGGCCTCGCTAATTTAATTTTCGTCCAATATAAAATAATATGTTATTACTACACCTAATCTGGATGCCTTTCCTATCGGCAACCTATATTGTGCGAATACTATCCGGATACTATATTTTGATGCCTGCGTCGTCAGGTCATGACAAGTCGAATGAGCCCCGAATTGAAGTGAAAGTGGAAAGAACGAAGGAAGCAGTTTTCGAGTCATTCGTTGCGTCAATTGAAATAAGTCATTGCTTCAAATGAAATGAACTGAAGCACTCGACGAACGAAACAAGTGATAGTCCTGTCATGTTTGAAAAAAATAATTTTCATCGTGACTCGATAACAAGAAACACGATGACTTACACGATGATGTAAACAATTTCTAGGAACTTTAAAGAAGTTCCGAAGAATGAAAGCAAAGAAGGATTATAAGGGAAGTTCTGAGAACTTCTATAAAGTTTCGGGCACTTCATGGGAGCTCCGAAAATTTTAAGGCGGTTTCATCATCATCAGGAAGGCAGTATGAACTTTTAAAAAGCTCTAATAAATTCAAAGAAGTGCAGAGGACTTGAGGAAATTTGTGAATACTTCAAAGACAATCCAAGAAATTTTACGGAAGCTAGGTCAATCGATTTTCGGAGAAACTCAGGGATCTTAAGGGTAGTCTCAATTTCAATAACTTTAGAAAAATCCAGACTTTTGGGGGAAGTTTAATGATCTGTAATGGAATGGTTTGATACATTCAGGAAATGTCATGAATTTCAAGTATTTTTTTTTTGCAAAGTTCTGAGAAATTTAGGTATGTTCATAGATGTCTTAAGATATGTTGGATTAGTTTATGCGACTGGTGTGTTTGTCAATTTCTGATTTTGGCCTTCTTAGGTAATCCAAACTATCAGTTTTGCATTGCCGGACGTTTCGATCCAAAGGATCTTCATCATTGTTAGTTTTATTTTTTGATACTAAAGCTTTCAGAGCAACGAATGGTGGTTCAGCTTCATATTTCCTGAGGAAGGTCAAGTCCAAAGACTAAATCGTTGGATGTAAAATATCGTACCATCTAACTTAAATTTGAAAATCTAGTACCCGAAAAAACAATATTTTTGATTTTTATGGCGAGCTGATTGCAGACAAGCTTTACACGCACTCTAGTTAATTAGAGGAAATTAAGTTGTATACATACTCAAGTTACACACAATTTTGGGCTCTCTTTAACCCGAGGATTGTTTGCTTTTTTCCTTCACCGTGTTATTCAAATGGTTGCTGGGTACCCGGGTACCCCGTCGCGCACATAATGGTTACGGATTTGAGGTGGAGTAGGGGCGAACATATGGAAAACTAGTGAGTAGCCAGCTCCAAATTTATCATGACAGCTATGGGTAATTCACGTCGGTTTGTATTCGTCTGAAAACTGTTTTGAAAATCTAGTTTGGTCACCAATCTACTCGACTAAAAAATGGACATTTATCTGAAACCCTTCCAAACGAATAGCAGACCCTGCGATCGACTTCATCAGAACAGTAAACTTACAATTTCCAGTGGCAATGGCGCTCTTCCACGTGGATGTGGTAACCGCATTTGGAGCGAACTGTACAGAATCGCTCTCGCCTCTGCCGACAGAATACATCGCACTTGGTCCAGTGCGAGTACGATGTGTAGAACTTGGGATGCAGGGTAGGATGTTTGCTAATGGGTCTGATTTTCTTTTTAGAATACCGCACAGGATATTTGTAGACAATCTTCCGGGCCTTGAAGCTTCGATCTATGCTGAACTCAGGAGGACCATCGTAGCCTTCTTGCGACGAGCTGTTCGATCTGTCCGGGGAAAGGTACGGCTGCGGAGGATGAAGAAGGTTCAGCGGTTGATGCTTGGGCGATGACATTAGGCTACTTAGCGTCTGAATACCGGGTTTGGTCGGTGGAGGAATGTGGTAGGCCTGTAACGAGAAGAATGGAAATATTACAAATCTGTCTTATTTAAATAAGTGTCGATTACAAACTAAGAAGCTACGCAAATATGATAGTTCAATGGGTTGCAGCTGTGTCTCGTCAGAAAACCACTTTACAAATTTCTTGAAAACCGAACCGAACGTCCTCGCCAGACACTCTGACGCTACCCACTGACTGAGGAGTTGTAAATTGGGACGACGACGACGACGACGCGACATTAAGGGGCGGCTTCCCTGCCTTTGAAGAACAACCAACCATAGTGTGTACAATAATCGAGTGTACCAGCTACCATTTACACCTTCCGAGCTTGTCGATTTTCCGCTCGTCAAAATCTCAAACAATATTCATAAAGATATTTCAACCTATTCCATAAAAAAAAACACGAACCTAGAGAGAAGCAAAAACAGCTCAAAGCAAGCTAATAAACCCCCGTCAGCGAAACGATTGGCTCAAACTGACTGACTGACTTGTGGTGGTGGTGTGCCAGTGCAGTGAGTTGGCGGGTGCCTACATGAACGTATGGACCATACCAGACCGGTTGGAGTCGTGATTTATTTACGGTTTGGTCATAAATCAAAAGTTCGAACCGAAATAGGCAGGTAGGTACTCAACTTCCATACGACAGCCCGAATCAGTCCGAAGCCTGGGCGGCTGCTGTGAAGAAAACAAGGCGAGTGCAATGTGGAAGTTTGAGGAACCACTGCTCTGTATGTTCAATTAATTTGCGTAGGGTTGACGAGGTGTTTGCAATCAATGACGTTTATATATCGTCCGAGTATACAGGCAGGTTGCTGGTGTCATACGCAAACATACTGTAAACATTGCTGAGCACGCACGTGACGTCGTCACTTTACCGTACAGTTCCATACTGCAAATAGTGAATGTGACGTCACAGCCAATTGTCTTTGACGGCGACTCCTGTAGCTCTTTAATCCTATGAGAAAATCCTTGAGCAAAATGTACATGGCGGCCTTTGTACTAAACGCTGATTAAAAGTAAATTGGTACGCACAAAAAGACCTGGATGTTATGAATGGTTCCATTATCAGGACACAACTGCAAATCGCTTGCCAACTCATGGCCTTCTTCGCGAACTTGTCGGCAAACACGAACTTTAATCTTCCCGGCACATTCCCACATCCAGTCGCGATGTAAAACTTTTGACCGGGAAGCTGCTTAAAATCGAGTTTGACGTATGTTTCGCCATCGATCAAAGTGCAGCCCTTGTGTTTCGTCAAAAAATGGTCGTACAAGAGCCTTGCACGCTTTTTGGCCACGGAATTCTGCTGCATGTGCCGGTTCGGATGTTTACTGGCTTTGTACGACTTGTATCCTTCTCTGGCAAGAACGTTAAACACTGTTTGAAATTTGGTTTTGTAGCTTCTGGCCTCATCTCGGATCGAAAGATCGGGGTTGGCTTTAACGCACTTCAAAACCTTGCTGCGCAGCTGACTATCCCTGGTCCCCTTTCTCCGGCAACTCTGTAGCTCTTTACTTCTATGAAAAAATCCATAAGCAAACGTCAGACTGTGCGTGAAACATGGCGGACTTTGTACTATCCTTTCACTCCACCGAAAATTCCCTTAAAAACTGTCTATATTTGCTGGAAGAGAAGATTTTTCGACGGTGCTGTCACAGCCAATAGCTGTTTCGTATAAAAAGATAAACATTGCAATGTTTTTTTGGTATTCCACCACTACTAAACATTTTCACTTTTCACTAATACCAATAAGCCCGTTGTCCCGGACCTTATATAAAGAACATTGGTTTGCAATGAAAGTTGGTTGATTATTTGTAGTTTTCTTTCGATGGGATTAAATAATTATTATAGATTATGTTGTCATAATTGAATTGCAAGCTGCAGATCACTCAATTGAAGGATTTCAGAGAGAATATTGAATGTATCAAGTCATTATTGTATTGGGAGGTGGAAATTGCTCAATTCAGATATAGGAGATTCCCGTGATTATATTAATAGCGGTAAACTCCATCGAGGATAATACCAACAATCAATACGAAACTAACGATTTTTAAATTGGCTCACCACTTTAGTAGCCTATTGGTCCCAAGCAAACGATTAACGTACCCTATTCTAGTTGAAATTCTATTACTACACTATGTTTGTTTTGATTCGCTATGAAAGTTTGACAGATAACATCAGGGGTGTGTGGATTCATGCAGAACATGCAGGGGTGAGTGAAATAGCTTGGGACTGCTTGGGACCGTTGTTCTGGTACTGAGTGAGCCAAAAATAATAATGATTTTCTTCGGGACCCAGTGGTCTTAGAGTTACCTCTATGAAAATACCATAGAGGTAACTCTAAGACTAGAAGGTCCCGAAGAAACGTGTTCAATTTTTTGGCTCAGCTCTGGTACTCTCTTCGGTCCCAAGCTAATCGATTCACCCCTCGAAACATAGAAAAATCCACTAACCCCTCATTTTATCTGTCAAACTTTCATAGCGAATCAAAACAAACATTGTGTAGTAGTAGAATTTAAACTAGAATGGGATACGTTAATCGTTTTCTTGGAACCAATAGGCTAGTCAAGTAGTGAGCCAATTTAAAATCGTTAGTTTAGTATTGAATGTTGATAATACTAACAATAATACCATAGAGGTCCCGAAGAAATGTGCTCAACTTTTTGGCTCAGCTCTGGTACTATCTCCGGTCCCAAGCTAAACGATGCACCCCTCGAAACATAGGAAAATCCACTAACCCCTCATTTTATCTGTCAAACTTTCATAGCGAATCTAAACAAACATAGTGTAGTACTACAATATCGACTAGAATGGGATACGTTAATCGATTTGCTTGGGACCAATAGGCTAGTCAAGTAGTGAGCCAATTTTAAATCGTTAGTTTCGAATTGATTGTTGGTATTATCGTCAATTTCAATCTCGGATTTCATTTTAAATCTGAGATTTTCGAAAAGTACGCAGCCCATCAAAAATCTTCTATCACCGCTCTCACACGCCCATAAGCTTAAGCAACAAAATCAGTGCAAACATTTCAAAAGGGCGAAATTGGTATGCAGAATTTCGATAATACGGACTTCTGGATATTTTTCCGAGACTTCAGGATAACAATTCAAATCACGTCTCTCAAATATTCTGTCATGATTAATATGAATAACCGATATCTTTCCAATACTTCAGGATGATCATCCAACAAACATAGAAAACTGAATAAGAGCTTATTCAGGTTTAAATATGCTTCTTCGGATAAAATATAGCTTATCAGCATTTATTCAGCTCAAATTGTTTGTTGAAGCGGCGCGACGGTGTGGGGGTTGGAGTGAAATTGGACCCCAGTAATCGATGCCGGTGATGAAAAATGGCCTGCTTGCTGTAACTCGTGAGGCAGGTAGTTCTGACATAAACTGCTGCAGCAGTTTTGGATGGGCTCTTACACATGTGACGCAGTTGTGGACGATAGTTTTTGCCAGGTTTCTGGCCCCTGTGATCGCAGGCGGAGGATATTGACCAGAAGCTGAGGGGCGGCGTGCAGATGCTTTTCATGCAGCGAACGAAGTAGAAGAGTGGACAAACCGTGCTTTGCTGGCAGGATAATCTGGTGCTTACTATCGAAAGGTTGAGGGGCTTGATTTAGGCGGCAACCGATTCTCATCAGTTGATCGTTGGCGATAAAGGGTTGAAACCAACGGAGTTTGGATTTGAGCGAAACTGGTTGTAATTTTTGTAGAGTTTTCCATTCTTCGTTGTAGGACTGTTGCTGAACCAATCGGATGACGGTAGCGTCGGCTTCTCCAAGTTCTTCTGAGCTGAGGAAGGGATGTATTGTTTGCGCAGACGGCTTGCACTTCCGTATAAACCGGCGAAAATATGCGACAATGCGTAGAAGACGGAAGTAGTTCGAAAACTTGCTCACTAGTTCATCGACGAACGAAGGCTCGGTGGTTATTGCAGTCGCAGCGACAGCAGCAAGTGGTAGTTTGCGTGCTTCGGGAAGCGCCATTTCGTTTGTAATGTTGCTCGTCAGCTGGTTGGCCCATGAAGAGGGTTCGAGATGCAGCCATGGTGGTCCGTGCCAACACAGGTTGTTATGCAGAATGGTTTCCGCCTCTGTTCCTCGGGAAATGCAGTCCGCTGGGTTGAGTTGACCAACGACATGATTCCTAGTACAGTGTTGAGTCGCTTGTTGTATTTTTGAAACGCGGTTGGCGACGAATGTGACCCAAGTTGTAGGTGGTGCTTTCAGCCAGCTGAGCACGATTGTTAAGTCCACCCAAAAGTAGACTTCGCCGGTGTGGTTCAGTGATTCCGTGACCCTCAGGGACAGTTCCGTTGCGAGGAGGGCTCCGCACAACTCCAAGCGGGGGATGCTTTGCTGCTTAAGAGGTGCAACTCTAGATCGTGCTGTTAGTAGTGCGACCTTTATGGTGCCAGAAGAGTTTGCTGAACGAATATAACAGCATGCACCATACACACTAAGATTAATTTACAGATTTCTGTAAAATTTTACCGAAATCTCAACAGCTGAACGTTCGGTAAACAATTTTACAGTTTTCCTGTAGTTATTTACAGATATCTGTGATTTTTTGATTTGTGAAAAATTACAGGAAATCTGCGAAACTGTTTACCGAACGTTCAACTGTTGAGATTTCGGTAAAATTTTACAGATTTCTGTAAAAATTTCTAAGTGTGTATGCATTCTTTGAAGCGTCTAAGAAGAAATGCAGTTGGATCGACGTCGGTGTAGAACAGATGACCCATCGCTCGATTCGCAGGTCATTAAGCCGAGGTAGTTGTTCACAGTAGGCCAGCCAACGCTCCTTGATTGCTGCTGGTAATTCCTCGTCCCAGCCCCAAGCTGCACCGTTGTTGTTTTTCAGCGTCCACAGCTCTTGCATAAAGAGTTTTGTCGATGTTACCACAGGTCCGACTAATCCAATCGGATCGAAAAGTCGTGCAATTTTAGAGAGAACTATTCGTTTGGTGATGGTAGCTTCTATAGGGTCGGGGGAGAGACAAATACGATAGCGGAGGCAATCGGTAGAGGGTTCCCAATGCAGCCCCAGCGTTTTTATGCATTGGTCACGATCGAAATCTACAGATGGTTGTACCATATAGGTAACTCTAAGACTAGTAGGTTCCGAAGAAACGTGCTCAACTTTTTGGTTCAGCTCTGGTACTATCTCAAAACAAACATAGTGTAGTACTAGAATTTCAACTAGAATGGGGTACGTTAATCGATTTGCTTGGGACCAATAGGCTAGTCAAGTAGTGAGCCAATTTAAAATCGATAGTTCCGTATTGATTGTTGGTTGTAGTGCTCGATTATCGGGAGAGACATCATGGAGAACTGCAGGAATGTTGGAGGCCCATTTGCGTAGGGTTAATCCTCCCCTGGAAAGAAGAGTATCGAGCTGTTCTCGAAGTTCGATGGTTTCTTCTTCGATTGTCCAAAAACGTTCCATTATCTGAGACAGATCGACGATGGAGGCAACGTTTGCGACAAGTGGTCTTTTCGGTTGTGGACTGGAGGCTTTTCCAGAAACCACCCAACCGAGCGTGGGATTGATGAGAGGTGGAAGTGCATCGCCAATTCGAATTCGACCCGAGACATGGAAGATGTCGTAGAAGACCTCTGCGCCTAGTACTAGATCGATTGATTTGCGGCTGTGGAAAGTTGAGTCAGCAATCTGGATTCCGGGTGGAATGCTCCAAGTAGAAGCATCGACGGAGGTGGATGGTAAGTCCATAGTCAAACGTGGAAGAACCAAACATTCAACGGTGGTGGAGTAGTTACAGACTCTTGATCGGATGTGGGAGAGAACTGTGAACTTAGCGTTGACCGTCGATTCACCGATACCAGAGATCGGAACGGAAACCCTTTTTCGTTGGACTGTGACGGTTTGGAGGAATCGCTCTGAAACAAAACAACATTCGCTTCGAGTCTAGAAGAGCTCTTTCTGCGTGCTCCCTTGCATTATCATCGACGAAGCGGACGACAGCGGTAGCGAAGAGGACAGTGGTTTGTTTACATTCGGTTGCCGCGTAGTTAGGTAGCTCGGTGACGGTCACAGAGGCTGATGTTCGTGGCTGTTCCTCCGTAGTGTGAGTTGTTGTTGTTTTCGATGTTGTAGGATGATGGATGATCCATGGCAAAGTTGAGTGAGATGATGGTTTTTGCATTTTCAACAGGAACTGGAACGGTGGCTAACGGTGTGACATGCCACCGGGCGTTGGGTGAACTTCTTCGGCTGACTGTACGACGATGAAGACGGCGGAGTTTCTACGCCTTTTCCGTGAAGTGTTTGGAGGAGGGATACTCTCCTCTGAATGAAGCTGGTCCCATTTGGGCGTAATTGCTTTTATAAACAAACACGTCAATCGCCAATTTCTCGCGATTAAAAGAACAATCTCGCGAACTAACTATACTAATGATAGAGGAACCATTCCTCTACCCGTTTGTGTTGTTAGTTTTTAGATTGAGCTTCAATTCGCGAGAAATCAGTGTTTGTTTACAAAAGCAATTACGACCTAACCTCAAAGTTCTCCGGATTCGAGATTTCGAAGATTATATTGAATTAATCAAGCCATAACTGAACTCAATTGGAGGATTATGTTGACTATATTTGAGATTTCGAAGATTTCGCTGATTATATTGAATAAATCAAGTCATAATTGAATTGCGAGCTGGAAATTGATCAATTGAAGGATTCTGGTTATCTTATTGAGATGTTAGATTTTGGAGATAATATTGAGTAAATCAAGTTATAATTAAATTGCAAGCTAGTAATTGCTCCATTCAAAGATTCTGATGAACTTATTTGAAGTTTCGGAGATTATATTAAATTAATCAAGTCACTAGCTGTAAATTTCTAAATTGAAAGATTCTGATATTAAATGCTCAAATATTGGAGAAGTTTTGAAACACTTTGAATGTGAATGAGCGATTCACATTGAATAAATCAACATTTTGTGCGCATCGTGAGACAAAATTGCTGCTCACAAGTGAAGTAGGCCGTGAGAAAAATCACTATCATACTGACACTCATCAAATCGGTTCAACATTTTGCACACAGAAAGGTAAAAAACCACCAATAGGTGGTCAAAAATCTAGAAGCAGAAGCAAAATGGAGAGCCTACTCGAATCATCCAATCGCGATTTCGATGAAAATACACGGTAAGTTCTATTGACATATTATTGCATTCGATACCTACCGTAGAGCTTTCCAATTTAGGCGGGTCAACAACGCCGTATTCATTTCCAAGGAGCACCACAGCTCGGAAGATAGCGGAACCGAGGACAGCGATTCATGTTCCATCGTATCCGCCCTGACCGCTGGAACTCTTAGGGCGGATGAAGAACATTACGTAATATAACCCTAATGGTAATTATTGCTATTCCTTCTATCGCGTCGATTTATTTAGTATTCAGATTCAAGTACCAGCACGGCAGTTGGAAAACCCTTGCCAAAACGTAGAGAATACGACCCGGAAGCGTATCAGAAATGGTTGAAAGCTAAAACGTAAGATAACTACTTTTCATTGTAGTTATAAAGACAAATCTTAGATTATTTTTGGACTACAGTGAAGCGGAACGCAAGCGAAAAGAAAAGGAACTCAGACGAAAGAAACACGAGGAAATCAAGAGAAAGCTGGAAGAAGAAAGGCGAAAGCAGGAAAGTGAAGAGAAATTGAAACGCTGGACGGAACGAAAGGAACAGGAAAAGCAAAGGAAGCAACAGGACCCCCAGAATGGGAATAAGAGAGAGACACAACTGAGGAAAAAGTGGGTCCCAAATGAAGAAAGTGAAACGACTTTCAAGGCTTGGCAGGACCGAATTAAGCAACAGGAGGAAGGTGAGTGGAAAGTGATTAAAATGTTTGCCTAAAAGTTATCCAACGATCACCCTCGATCTTAGAAAGAAAACGTCGCCTGGTGGCTAAGCAACGCATGGAGGAAAAGTTCAAAAAGGAACGGCAGCATTTTTCGAAATTGGTCTACGACGATTGGCTGAAGTCGTCTTCGTCGAAGCCGAAACCCGTACCACTAAACCAGGGAATCGCCAGTCTTCAGGGTTCCATCTCCAAGATGTACATAAATCCCGTCCCATGGAAGAGTAACATTGACTGAGCAGAGTATGGCAGTTGTCAATCGCCACCGCGCAGCTGCCTCTTGCACATTTTTATATACATAGACAGTAGTAATATATGGCTACGATTGTGAGAGATGATAAATTGTCTGTATCTGCCGATGCGAATATAACACTTTCTTACATTTTTCTAGACTGTTGTATTCTTCCCTAGAACTAGGGATACTAGTGAAATTAGTTGTTTACGTTTTTACTATCGATTTCTGGGTAAGCTACGTAACATAAGCGACCATCAATCACCATCTGAATCATCTGACTTATTTTTAATCTTCTTCGTATTCGCTCCTCTATTATCCGTACTAAATCAATACAAACAGTTCTGACAGGAATTTTGTACATATTTATATGTTAAAATAAACAATATCGAAGCTTCTTCTTCTTCTTCTTCTTCTTCTTCTTCTTCTTTCCTTTATTTAACGTCGGTCTCTGTTCCGCAATCTAGTGCCAATCACCGACGGACATCGATTGCCATCCATTGACGGCAACCGAATGTGCAGGAAGGCAGCTTCCACACCCGCGTAGGATATCGCACCCATTTAACACACATGGGCCGGGACCAACGGCTTTACTTCCCTTCCGAAGGAAGACGTGACCAGAGATTTTTATGCCTCAGAAAAATCCCACCGACCTCGGCTGGGATTGAACCCAGACCCATTGGGGTGTTAGAAAGCAGTCACGCTTACCACTACACCACCGGTGCCGGCTATCGAAGCGTAATGTTATTTTTTTTCAATAAATCAGATCTGGCAGGTAGAAGCAGATAGCACACATGGAATTCATTGTATACTTGTTCTTCTTGTCATGAAAATTTGTGCCATTGAAATCAAATCAAAACAGGCGTAGCAAAATAGCGTGTTTTGTTTTGAGCGTGTAGTGATTATTTGAGATTGTTCTGTGAGAAACTGTACTTTTCTGTTTGGTATTTTACCATGCCACTAGACAAAAGACTAGTTTTGACAAAACATGGGTTAATGATATCTTTCAATATTGATTTGTGTGTATTTTGAATGAATTAAAAAAAAAAGGTGCCCCATTGAATAAAATAGCTGGAAACGACAGTTTGTCATAAATTACTTTACGCAAGAATTCAATACCGCCTTGTGTATTCCTGTTCAACTGTAAGAAAAGGATCATAAAATTCCTTGGCTTCCAATGACAGTTCTTGACAGCAGCCGCCTGGCTGCATTTAACGTACCATTTTTCTCTATTCGCGGCTCTCCCTCAGAATCAGATTATACCTCTGTACCAATGGGTGGTCGCTCTAAACACTTATTTTATGCCAACTTTCTTCTCAGTGTGTGCCGAGAGTGCCAATACCATAGGTACCAGAACGTCAAAGTCGAAGACATGTTGGATTCAAATGCAGGCTGTGTTTCTTCATTTGGGCTCATATAGAATTTCACTGGCGTGCACAGGGTGGGGCAAGGTGGGGCAATTGCCCCTCCTTTTATATATAAAATGTTTATTTCCACATTTTCAAATTATAAAATATTTTATTTATAATTATAATTATTTTATAAAATAACTTGATTTCTTGATAACTTGATTTGAAGGTAAATAACTTCATTTCATACTATAAGGGCACTGAAAACCTTTTATTGCATCGTTCTGGTCAATTGAAATTTTCTGGGGCAAGTTATATTGAAAATTTCTGGTGCAAGATTTGCAACAATCTGCTGCATGGAGGCGATAGCTGAATTGAAAATTCCTGATGTAAACATTGCACAGTTCTGGTGAATGGAGGGGCAAGCTTTATTGAACATTTCTGGTAGAAAAAACTACAACGTTTTGGTGAATGGACGGACAACTTAAACTCGAATTCCAAGAAGAACCTCAAGGGTATTGAATTCTAAAGACAAGTTCCAAAAGAAATGATTTCTGGGGATGATTCCATGAAAATTCTGCGAATAATTTCTAGTGAGATAATTTGGAAAAGAGAGAATCAAATTTTGAATGAAATTCCAAAAGGATGTTGGGGAAAATTTCAAGAAAATTCCGAGGATAATTTCAAGCTCATTTCGGGAAGAATTTCTGGAGAATACAGAGGAAATTCTTCTGAAAATTTAGGGGAATTTCAGTTCCAAGGTGTTCTGAGAAAAAAAAAAAGTTCTAAAATATTCCGAGAAGCACCTCAAAGCTATTAAATTCCTATGACAGTTCCAAAATATTTCTGGAGAGAATTCAAAGAAAATTCTGTGGATAATTTTTAGTACATCCTGCAGATAGTTCCAAGATAATTTCGAAAAGAATACCGAGAAAATCAAATTTTGAGTGAAATTCCAGAGGGATTTTAAGCAAAATTTCAAGCGAAATCCGAGGAAAATTTCTAGCGCATTCAGTTCTAAGGTGTTCTGAGAAAAAATCATAAAGAGTTCTAACTATAATTCCAGTGGACTTCTGAGAAGAATTTCAAAAGAGCTCTTAGGAGAGTTCTAAAAAAATCCGAGAAGATCCTCAAGGATATTCAATTCTGAGGACAGTCCCAAAGAATTTCTGGGGAGTATTCCAAGAAAACTCTGCCAATAATTTCTAGTGAATCCTGTTATAGTTTCAAGATAATTCCGAAAAGAATACCGAGTGAAATTCCAAAGGGATTTTGAGGAAAATTTCAAGGGAGTACCGATAATTTCAAGCTCATTCCGGGAATAATTTCTGGATAATACTGGGGAAATTCTTCTGAAACTCTAAGGGAATTTCAGTTCCAATGTGTTCTTAGTAAAAGTCAAGGAGAGTTCTAAAAATAATTCCAGAGGACTTCTGAGAAGAATTTCAAAAGAGCTCATAGAGTTCTAAAAAAAAAACTTTTGGATTCCCTAATTGAAAAGTGGGTATTAGTTTGCCATTGAACCTTGGTCGGTCGTTGTCTTACTAAAAAAAACGTCGAAGAATCTTCCCTGAAATTGTCAATGAACAGCTTTGAGTGTGTTGGTTTATTTCCTTTTAATTCCTTTATAATTGCTTATCTTTTGACAGATACGTGTATTTCGTCTACTACTTACATACTTCATCAGTGCCAAGCACTCAATATCACTGATCAAGATTGGATTGATCAAGAGCAATATACTGTTTGTTCACTGCTATGTGCACTGTTTAAACCTTGTACTTGTTGACGCAGTGTGCATGCGAAAAGAGAATGCGATTCTTATTGGTCATTCATCTTGGTTTGTCGATGCTATCACCAACATCTGACGTGACTTCAGCTGAATTCAACCACCAAGGCAACAACATTGCATCAAATGTATAATTTTGGATAAAGCCCTACTATCGCAACCATTTGACGAACCGACTATCATCGACATCGTCGATGGGATTAAATTGCCAATTTCCATTGGCTGTCTGAAAGCAGTTTGCGTTGAAGAAGATGAACCACCACCGGAGCAAAAAATAAGTAAAATTAGCTAACAGTAGGGAAAAAGTGGGAGGAGGACAGCACCATCTACGACGTACTTTGGAGTACTCCCCATCCCCAGATTAAATGCACCTAGGAAAAAAATTGCCCCTCCTTAACAAGATTCCTGTGCACGCTAGTGTAGAATTTAGAGACGAACCAGCCAACGGCTGAAAGTCTCTATAATAAAGAAATCAATCAATCAATCATATAGAATTTGTTGAACGCGTTGCGCCATTGGACACCTCTGTAGGGGTACCAGTTAATCAAGTTCTAAATGAGCTACACCCAACCGGGGGATGTAAGATTCTCTTACAATTATGTGGGATACATCATCAGAGGATGTTAGTGGAGACCGCATGAACGGAGGATGCGATATACTTAGCAGAGGTCCAATGCAAGAAAATTGGAGACCGAAAAATGTAGAGTGTATTAGCAACAATCAATACGAAACTAACGATTTTAAATTGGCTCACCACTTTAGTAGCCTATTGGTCCCAAGCAAACGATTAACGTACCCTATTCTAGTTGAAATTCTATTACTACACTATGTTTGTTTTGATTCGCTATGAAAGTTTGACAGATAACATCAGGGGTGTGTGGATTCATGCAGAACATGCAGGGGTGAGTGAAATAGCTTGGGACTGTTTGGGACCGTTGTTCTGGTACTGAGTGAACCAAAAATAATAATGATTTTCTTCGGGACCCAGTGGTCTTAGAGTTACCTCTATGGTATTAGTGAGGTATTAGTTATGTTGAAAAAAATTGGAAACATACTGCTGGCTGGATTTGAACCACGAACGTTGCGATTATCAGACCTGTGCTTTCTCCACTGCTCTCATGTGAAATCTATAGCAAATCCTTCTCAAAGGTAGTTTTTACCGTCGTCGGTGAGGTCACTGCTAGGAACTTGAACAGGAACTTGATCTTAATTGTTTTGTGAAATAAGGAGCTTGGTGGCCTTGTGGCGACCGATTTTGCTTACTGAGCAGGAAATCATGGGGTTAATCCCAAACTCCGTCATATTATAGAGTTACAATTTAAATCGGCTTCCTTTCATAAATTTGATATAAAGTGTAATAAAATCCGGTTGGAGGGAAAGGGCCTCCCTTAACTCAGTCGGTTAAGGCGCAGCTACAAAGCAAGACCATGCTGGAGGTGACTGGGTTCGATTCACGGTCCGGTCTAGGAATTTTTCGGGTTGGAAAATTTCTCGACTCCCTGGGCATAGAGTATGATTGTACTTGCCACACAATTATACTAATGCAAAAATGGTAGCAGGCATCGAAAGCTCTCAATTAATAACTGTGAAAGTGAATCAAGAACACTAAGTTGAGAGCAAGCAATAAGCTAATATGCCATAAACAATAAGCTTGTAATGCGAAGAAGAAGAAGAAGAAGAAGAAGTGGAGGGAAGGGTATGTAAAAGAAGAAATATTTGAGTTTTTTTGAAAGACGTGTTGATCGGAAATCCATAGCTAATCCTTCTAAAGAAGTGTTGTTGTCGTCGTCGGTGAGGTCACCGCCGGATCGAAACCTCGTAACAACAAGTTGAACGGCATCTTTAGGACCACACATTTGAATTTTCATAAT